AAAAAAAACCTTCCTGGGACTGCGGGAGCTGCCGAGCCTTCCAGGAACGGAAGCTGGTCATGCCTGAGACTCTGGCAAAGGAGGATCCTGGCCTGAGCCCTGCGGGCCAGTCTGGAAAATCCTGCCACGCCCTCCCAGGCCCAGGAGGCTGGCGTGGCCTCGGGTCCAAGGAGGGGGCCGCAGTGGTTGAGTTCTAGGCCTGCAAACCCCTTCCTCTGAGGCTCGGCCAGGGCTGGGCAGTGCCAGGCCTCATACCCATGGTGACCCCGCTCTGCCCCCTCCCAGACACTGCCCTTCTGCTTCCTGGCCTCCAGTATGAGCCCCCTTAGGGGGCCCCGGGGTCTCTGGGCTGGGGCCACACTCTTGCAGAAACAGCCGACCTTTTGGAGCAGCACCGCCCTAGGCCCCTGCACCGGCATGTCACGGTCCCCTCACGTGCAGGCGTATCCACACACGTGCTGTGCCGGGGACAGTCTCACCATGTGCGGGTGCCCTGGGGCTCCTTCCCCCAGGACCCGCAGCGTCCCCTCGGATGCTAGGACTTTGTGATAATGAGGGCCAGGGGAAGCCACGGCTGAACGTGGAAATGGCCTCGTTTATGGCGGCAGGAAAAGGATCTGGACAACTGTCGGCCAGCGGCCAGCTGTGCACAGAAGAACAGCCGGCCCAGTGACCGGGAGGGGAGCATTACTGGCAGGGGGCACGGGCCAGCCCCCTGGAGGTCAGGGAAGCCAGTGAGGGCGGGCACATGCCAGCCTTTGGTGGCTCAGGCGGGTGGACCCCAGGGCCCAAGGACCCTGGGGCTGGGCCCAGAGAGAGCGTACCCCAAGCCCTTGGGCGGCTGGAGCCCAGGCCTGGGGGGCTTCCCAGCAGGCCATGCGGGACAGAGCAGGGAGCGACCCACCGTGGGTGCCGTCCCAGGGTGCTGCTGGCTCAGCCGGGGAGTCCGTTGCGTCATCCCTCCGTTCTTTCACTCCCTCGTCTTCCCTCCCTCGTCCTCCCTCCCTCGGACCTCCCTCCCTTCCTCCCCTCGTGAATGGCCTTCCATGGGGGCTGCATCCCCAGGGCCGCGAGCTTCAGTGTTCTTGGGAGGAGGAGAGCAGTGGGCCGCGGGTGCTGTCAGCCCAGCAGCAGGTGGATGGTCCTCCCAGCTCGCAGCCTCCATGGGCCTGCAGACCCTTGGGGTGTGGATGCCCCTTGTCTCCTGCCAGCGCCTGGAGAGCAGGCCTCGTTCCTCGGCCGCACCGGGCACTCTAATCTTTACACCTGGCGTGGCGGGCAGCCCGGAGTGGGAACCTCACCAGGGCTACGGTGGAAACCGGCCCCAAAGCCGGCCTTGGCCGCCTCTCCGAGGATCCTCCCCTGACCTGCAGATGAGGAGGGTTGGAGCCCGGGGCGTTTGCCCTGCCGCCCTCAATCACCCAGGAGCTTCTGGGGGTACCCAGACTCGGGTCCCTGCTGCTGGCCTGGGAAGATGCAGTGAACGGGACAGACAGACACGTCCCCCTCCCCTGGAACTCGCATCCTGTGGAGGGAAGAGAGTTAAGAAAGGAGAAAGGAAGGCAGAAGAGACGGCTCCCAGAACCTCGAGTGTTACGTGGAGAATTCGCGTAGTGTAACACATGAGGAGTGGGACTCTCCAGGAAGCGACATTTCAGCTGAGCGCGGAATGCAAGATGTGGGCGAGGGCATTCCAGGGGGAGTTCCTGAGCAGAGGCCCCTGGCCGGAGTGGGCTCAGCATTTTCGAGAAACATAAGGGGCCAGTGTGGCTGGGCTGTGTGGGAGAGCCGGCAGGGAATGAGGTGGGAGGGTGGCGGGGCCGTGGACAAGGCCACTGACTGGACTGTGTTCTCAATGCAGTGAAGAGCCACCGGGGAGACGTGACCTGGATTTACCTTTGCAATAAACAAAACATTTCCGCTGCCTTTACCACAACCGAGATAACCCCCTGGCCCGCAGTAGGCAGCCAGAGACAGCAGCCGGGGGTGGGCACAGGGAAGACCAAGGGAGACGTGTCTTCAGAAGAGCTGTGGAGACCCTGAAGCCCTCCTGGATCAGAGGTGGCTTGCTGGGGCCCGTGCACTGGCCTGGGGTGTCAGGACGCAGAGCCGACAGTCACTGGCACACACCTATACGGCATTCAGATTGGTGGGTGTCTGTTCCATACCAGTAGTTCAGTCGTTTGACTGTCACCTCTGGTGTGTCTGATTGTTGGGCGAATAGGAAGGAAGGGGGGAAGGGAAGAAGGAAAACCAGGCTGCTCAGCTGACTGGCTAGAAAGATTCGTGGAGGAGGGGGGTGGGGGGGAAGGTTGAGAGGCTGAATGGATAGTTGGTGGATGGATGGATAGATAGGCAGATGGGTAGATGGGTGGATGGATAAGTGATTGGATGTTTGGATGGATGGATAGGAGGTTAGATGGATGGATAGGCAGGTGGGAAGATGGATGGGTGGGTGGGTGGGTGGGTGGATGGATGGATGGATGGATGGGTAGACGAATGGATGGATAAATAGATGGGTGGATGGCTGGGATGTTGGGTGGATGGGTAGATAGGCTAGTGGAAAGATGGAAGGGATGGATGGATGGGTAGACGAATGGATGGATAAATAGATGGGTGGATGGCTGGGATGTTGGGTGGATGGGTAGATAGGCTAGTGGAAAGATGGAAGGATAGGTGGATAGATGGCTAGATGGATGGATGGATGGATGGGAGGGAGAGAGGGAAGGAAGGAAGGGAGGGAGGGAAGAAAGGAGAGAGGATGGTGTAGGTGAGTGGTTGGTGGAGCTCATGCACTAATGAGTCCCACTGGTCCTTAGTGGTGCTGGGAGAAGGTGTGCAGTAGGCTCTGAGAAGAAAGGCAGCCAGTGATCTCCATGCCCTCCCCACCCTGCCCTGGGTGGAGCCAGGACAGATGGCCAGATGGGGGAGCTGAGACTGAGCTGTGAGCAAGAGCCCCTCTCCCCGCCCCAAGTCTGCAAGACTCAGCCCTTAAGAGAAATGAGGCTCCAGGTGATGGAGGTCGACCTTTGTCATCCTCCCTTATCACACTCCCTAGGGGCCCCCAGGGCAGGACCGAGTGTGACTCACCTTGGCTGCCAGCCTGGGTGCTCAGAACATCTCAGCTGAATGGCGAGTGAGCCAGGCCTCCTCTCACGTGCTGGCCTCCCGTCCTGAGACGCACCTGGGCTGGCAGCACGTGTCCACTGGGACTCTGATAAGCGGGGCTGGGCTGCCCAGATGCCGGCCCTCTCCCTCAGCAGCAGGTTTGCTGGAGGCCCAGCTGAGACGGGGAGAGGGCAGACTCGGAGCCAGGTTTTAGAGTCAGTCCAGCGTGGCTCAGGTGCGGCCTTGCCAGTTACTAGTGTGTGACCTTGGGCCAAAACCCCCAACCTCTCTGACATCAGTGTCCCCATCTCTAAAATGACAAAGGTAACAAGCTTAGCAGGTGACAAGAGAGTGATCAGGAAGGAGGGGCCAGAGGTGCCACCGGCCCACCTGCAGCCTGGGAGCCCCTCACTCTGACCCCTGGGCGGGGGGTGCAGAGGAGGCCCTGGGCCGCGCCGCACACTCCTGAAGCCCCGCTAGGTCCCGCTCGCCACCCTGTCACTGCAGGAAAGGCGCTGTGTGGCTGCGGGCCCGCCCAGGAAGGCCCAGGGCCAAGAGAGAAAGCGGGGCCTTTGTCCTGGGCTTGGCGGGCAGCCCTCAGCCCGCCCAGGGAGGCGGCAGGCAGCAGCCCGGGCCTGGAGGACGGGTTGATTAGTGCGCCTTTATGGAGTGCGTCCTCGGGGAGTGGACAGCGCGCAGGATCAGGAGTTGGAGTCCAGCTCTGCCAGTGCCTCCCGGCTGTGACCTCGGGGCAAGGCCTTCAGCTCTCGGAACCACGATCTTCTCGTCTATAATGTGGGCTGACAGCGGTGGGGGCGGTGCTGTCAACTGTCAACCGCTTGCCCCAGCCCTGCTCTGGGTAGGGCATGAGGGGGACAGGAGAGAGAGGGAAGCATCCCGGGAGGAGGCTCAGAGCTGCCCGTGAGCCGCGGACGAGGCCAGGCAGTGGCAGGGCCCGGGAGGGCGTGGCGGGCGGCGGGAGGACTGACTGTGGGGGCTCGCCAATGCCGCTCCTTCTGTGGGGCCCTGGGGGGCTGTCTCAGGCTGTGCTGGGAGGCAGGACGGAGGCTTACCCGGGAATGCGGTGTCTTGGGGGCATGTGAACTTGGGAGCACCTCGACTTCAGCACACCTGTGATTTCTCTCTGGGTTGAGGAAGGTGCTTTGGTGGAAATGACAGGAGCGTGGCGGGGGGGCTGAAGTAGGGGAAGACCAGACTGAAGGAATGTGGGAGGGGAGGGTCTCCTGGCATCCTTAGGCCGGAGGGGCAGGCCAGGTTCGGGGACGGCCCAGCACCACCACCTCCCTGCGCTCTGGGGCCACCTGTCTCGCCTGCCTGTGTCCCCTCTTCCTGAGCAGCTCTTGGCTGCCTCCCCTGTGGGCATCAGTGGCCATCTCCCCACCACGGAGCGCCATCACCTGGGAGGGAAAGCGTGGTGGCCCGGCATCACTCAGTGGCCCACCTCAGGGTCACTTGGCTGTGGCCAGGATCTTACAGAGCCAATTTAGCGCTGGGCTTGGCGGGCAGGGGTTCTCAGAGAAAGATGTCTCCACACCCGTGATGGGCCGCACTTTGGGGGGGCTGGGTGGGGCTGCTTCTGACAAGGGCTTTGTCACAGCCCACCCTCGATGCCGGCCCTGGAGAGCCTGAGCTTGGCTGGGCAGCCTTCCCCGGGCTGACCGCCCCTGCTGACCTGCAGGCCCCTCAGGCCCTCCTCGTCCATTTCTGAGACATCCCCTGAGCGGGGAGCTGAGCGTAAGAGGGGGTGGCCCCTGCCATTCACCCCTGACTTTCTGGAGTGTCTCTGGCCTCCTGGCCTTACCCCCGTGCATCCGGGGCCGCCCCCGGCCTCCAGTGAGGTGTGACCCCTGCTGTCCCCTCCTTCCTTCCAGAAGCCGCCCAGCGCTCAGGCCATGAAGGAGGAGGCCTTTCTCCGGCGCCGCTTCTCACTGTGCCCGCCTTCCTCCACCCCTCAGAAGGTCGACCCCCGAAGACTCACCCGCAACCTGCTGTTTGGCGGAGAGAATGAGCTCTACCCTCTCAGCCCAGGTCAGTGCTGGCTGCGGCACAGGCACAGGGCGGGGGCCGGGCGGCTGCTGGGGCCTGGGTCCTCCGTGGCTTTGCAGCCCGGCTGTGTGACCTCAGGCGGGTCGTTTGCCCTGTCTGTGCTGTCCCCATCAGTGAGGTCGATAGTCTTGCTCTGCTCACGGGCCCCTCAATGCTGGGTGCTGTGCGAGGTGAATGAACAGAGGGTTTGCAGACCCACCAGGAGGTCAAGCAGGGGCTCCCCAGCCCAGGCTCTGGGGGCAGCTCATCCGTCCTTGGAGAGGCGGTGTGGCGCAGTGGTCCCAAACACGGGCCCCGGGACAGGCAGCCTGAGTTCCAGCCCCAGCTCTCTCCTGGGCCAGCTGCAGGACCTCCCTGGGCCTCAGTTTGCTCATCTGTAAATTGGGGATAACATTGGTACTGCAACCAGCTACGGAGGATCCCTGGGCTCTGCGGGGAAGGATTCAGACCTGGCTGCTCTCATGCAGCTCGTGGGTAAAACGCTGAGCGCATAGACCCCTGCATCATCTGTACCTGCTGCTGCTTTCATGGCTCCAGGCCCACCCCCCCATCACCCACCTCTCCACGTCCCCACCAAGCCACATCTGAGCTGAGCTCTCTCTGCCGTGTCTGTGACTGCCATCCCGAGAGCCCAGCCCTTCCTTCCTGGTGCCCCTGCTGGGGTCGGGGGCAGCGTAGCCTCCCTCCCTCCTGTGCCCCGCCTGGCCTCCTCCGGTCTGCCCACCCTTCTCCCACCCCCTGCTTTGGGATTGAGAGACGAGTCCATTCCCTTCCAGGCCACAGCATCCGTCCTGTCCCTGGAGGAGACTGGGAGAGCATCAGGCTGATGTGCTGTCAGGACCAGAGGGGCTTCTGGGGACCGCCAAGCAGATGGGGAAACTGAGGCTGCACGGGGAGGGCCTTGTTGAAGACGCGTGGCAGGCGGGGGGGTGCAGGACGCCTGGGGAAATAAATCTGACATTCCTTCTCTGCTGCCACACCCTCGCGGAGCAGGGTGGGAGGGGAAGGATGGGTCCCATTTGGTGGTCAGTTTCCAAGGGATTTGGTCCCCAGAGCAGCTGGCCCGGGGAGTGCAGGCCCCGGGCGGGGTGAGGGCCTTTTCCAGGGAGCGCAGGAGGCGGCAGGTCCTGGGGGCAGAGGCAAGAAGGCAGCCATGGACAGGCTGCGAGGAGAGGAACCGGCACCTGGCCGCCAACGCCAGGGAGCCGGCACCCCGCTCCCTCGGGTGCTCTGAGGGCCCCCAGTCCTCCCAGCCCAGCAGGCAGCACCCATACTGGGAGACCGCCTTCTGACAGCTGCAGAACAAACCCCCCAAGACAGTTCCTTAATCAAAGGGCCCAGATGCAGGGCCCCACGGAAGTGGAGAAAGACCCTACTCACCACCCAGCCCGGGCTCTGGGTGGGGGCTCAGGGTGCTTTGCGGATGGGGAAGCAGAGGTGGTGAGGCAGGGCCGAGGGCAGGGCGACTTTGAGTGGCTGCCGTTCCAGGACCTTTCGTGCCCCAGGTGAACCTGGGCCTGGAGCCAGTGTCACTGCCTCGGGTCGCCTTGCCGGCTTTCTGCGGGGCATGGCTCTCGGTCCCCGGCCTCCCAGCCCCTTCCCAGGGCTCCCGGAAGCGAGTCTGCAGAGCCCCCGCCCGGGCTGGATCTTGGGCAGCTGTCCACTGCTCCTGCCTATCCCACTGCCCCTGGCAATAAACCACCGGCCCCAGGAAGCTGGAGCGGCCATCAGGCGGCCTCCTCTGAGACCATCCTTCCTTCTCCGGCGGCGAACCGGGCTTTGGAAGCCCCCTTCAAAGAACCAGAGCCAGGGAAGAGGCGGGCGTCTCCCCCAGGATCGAATCCAGGATCACCTCCATCCATCTCCAGAACCCAGACACCTCCAGCCAGGCTGGAGAGGGAAATGGACACCTGCCAGGGCCGGGCGCAGGGACAGTGTCGGGCCACCTCCCGCCCAGAGCCCTGCACTGGGGGACGACAGAATTCGGTCAGAGGATTCAGGCTATGGGAGGAGGCCAGGAGTGGTCCGGGCGCCCTGAGCCCGCCGTGTGCATGTGAGCCTGGACGCCACATTCTTGGCCTGAAAACTGGGGGGTCTGGCTTTCCAGAACCCCAAAGGACATGCCACTCCAGAGCCCAGGGCGCCCGGGGTGCCTCCCTGCAGGCTGTGGAGGCCAGGCTCCCGGGTCCCTCCCAGCCCTGACACTCCCTCCCAGCCGTGACGTGACGTGACGCTGGTGCTGATTAGATCTCAGGGCAGTGTCCCCGCCGCTGCGGCCTCACGCTGGCTTCCTGCCCCGCCCAGGCCGCCTGCACCCACCCCTCGCCTGCCACACTCGGGGCAGCCAGCTTCCCGCCATGCCCTGGACCTCACCCCAGCCGCTGTCTTGCAGGGAAGGACATGGAGCCCAACGGCACGTCGCTGCCAAGAGATGAAGGGCCCCCGACCCCAGGCTCTGCCACGAAGGTGCCTCCGGTAAGACGAGGCTGTGGGAGGACCTGGGGAGCCTGCCCAGGGCACAACAGGAAGGGGCTCAGGGAGGGGCACAGCTGGGGCGCCGGCCGTTCCGTGGGGACCAGCTTTGAATGCAGACTGCAGGTCCAGGGAAGGCTGCGGGAGGGGCGGGGCACACAGCTTGTCAGCTGTTTCACCAGAGCCGCCTTCTTGGAGAAACGGGACCAGAGAAAGGCTGTGGGCTGGGTGGCATTCGGGGACAGGAGGCCCCCAAGCCCTCTGTCGAGGGATAAGCCCTTCCTGCCTCTGCCTGTGCTGTTCCCTCCACCAGGAACAGCCTCTCCAGCCTGACGCCAGGTTCTGGAAAAGCACACACACACACAGATACCCACGCAGACACACACTCACGCAGACACACACACAGACACATGAGACACATGCACACACACCCACAGACACACACAGACACACACAGATACTCACACACACAGACACACTCACAGATACACACTCAGACGCACTCACACACTCACACAGGTACACACACACTCGCAGATATACACACAGACACACACACAGACGGACACACATCCACAGACGCTCACTCACACACACAGACACACACAGACACCCACACACACTCACACAGGCACACATACAGACAGATATACAGGCACACACACCCACAGACACACACACACTCATACACACAGACACCCACAATCACACAGACTCACACGGACACTCACACACAGACTCACTCAGACACACCCACAGACACACACCCATGGACACACACACACGCACACAGATACCCACGCAGACACACACAGAGACAGACACACACTCGCACACACCCCACATGTTCCCCAGGCCAGCCCTCCCGCACACTTTGGTCCGGGGAGGGTGAGGAGGCCCCGGCACCACACGCGGACTTGAGGCACACCCTTCCTCCCTGCTCCCCGAGGGTCTCAGGCCGGGGGAGCCCCGGCCCCAGACATTGCCCGAGGGTGGTGGCCCGGGTTCTGGGGTGGGTCTGGGCAGCAGTGCAGGTGGAGCCTGGTTCTCCCCCTGCCTGGGCCCCTGGGACCCTGTGTGACCGAGAGTGACGGCCTGCCTCTCCAGGCCCCGGGTCCTGGCCTGTCAGATGGGTGAGTGGTGGCTCAGACTGGCTGTCTACCACAGCGGAGGAAGCAGCCAGGCCTCCAGTGGGTCCCCCGCGCCCAGAGCCTGCATGCCCTTCTCGGCCCCCAGGGCCGCCGGCTACTGGGCAAGCAGTTGGAGCACCTGCATTTGTGTCTGTGTGTGTGTATGTGTGTATGCTGGGGATTTTTTTAATTTTTAAAAAATGTTTAATTGTAGTAAAATACAGATAACACAAAATTTACCATTTTCACCATTTCTAAGTGCACAGTTTGGTGGCATTAGGTACATTCACATTGTTGTGCAACCATCACCTCCATCCATCTCCAGAAACTTCTTTTTTTTTTTTTTGTGAGGAAGATCAGCCCTGAGCTAACATCCATGCTAATCCTCCTCTTTTTGCTGAGGAAGACTGGCCCTGAGCTAACATCTATTTCCAGTCCTCCTCCTTTTTTTCCCCAAAGCCCCAGTAGATAGCTGTATGTCATAGTTGCACATCCTTCTAGTTGCTGTATGTGGGACGTGGCCTCAGCATGGCCGGAGAAGCGGTGCGTCGGTGCGCGCCCAGGCCGCCGGTAGCAGAGCACACGCACTTAACCACTAAGCCATGGGGCTGGTCCTCCAGAAACTTCTTCACCTTCCCAAACTGAAGCTCTGTCCCCATTAAACACTGACTCCCATCCCCTCCCCCAGGCCCTGGCACCCACCATCCTACTGTCTGTCTCTGTGGACTTGACTCCTCTAGGTCCTCATATGAGTGGAATCACACAGTATTTGTCCTTCTGTGACTGGCTTATTTCACTCAGCACAATGTCCTCAAGGCTCACCCATCTTCTTTTTTACGGGTGTCAGGATTCCTTCTTTTTTAAGGGTGAATAATATTCCACTGTATGGATAGACGACATTTTGTTTATCCATTCATCTGTCGATGGACACTTGGATTATTTATATTTTAAGAAACAGATTTATTTCTTAAAAGCTTTGAAAACATGGTTATGTCCTTATAATACCCAATCAAACATACACATGTTGCCAGAAACACTCACTTGGTTCAAATTTCAGATTTCATTCAGTCAGTCAATATTTATTTTCTGAGCATCTTCTGTGTGCAAAGCCCCACACTGCTGTAGGTGCTGGGGGCCGGTGGGGAGTCATGGATAAACCAAGGCCCTGCTCTCCTGGAGCTTACGTTCCGGTGAGGGGAGACACGACAAGTACATCCACAGCATGTCAGAGGCCACGGGGGAAGGAAAGGAAAGCTCCGCACACCCCCAGATACTTGAGACCAGCTTGGGGCTGCTTTAAGGGATCATGGCTTGGGAAAAGATACAAACTCTAATACATATATACATGTATGTACATATGCACATGTCTATACACACATATATATGTATAGATGTGTTATATATTACCTATTCTTAATGAGATAAAATTCAGATAACATTAAATTAACCATTTTAAGTGATCAATTCAGTAGCATTCAGTGCATTCACAGTGTTGTGCAACCACCACCTCTGTCTAGTTCCAGAACGTTCTCATCATCCCAAACTGAAACCCCGTGAGCCGTCTCTCCCATTCCCTGTCCCACAACCGCTGGCAGCCTATACTCTAGTTTCCATCTCTGTGGGTTTGCCTGTTCTGGACGTTTCATATAAACAGAATCGTACAGCGTGGTCTTTGGTGACTGGCTTCTTTCACTGAGCATCATGCTTGGAGAGCATCCATGTCATGGCATGGGTCAGCGCTTCATTCCTTTTGAGGGCTGAGTAATATTCCACTGGGTGGACGGACCACAGTTGGCTTGTCTCTTCCTCAGCTGGTGGACCTTTGGGCTGTTCCCACTTTTCAGCTGCTGTGGACATGTGTGGACGTGTGTTTGTTAGAGTCCCTGCTTTCTCTTGTTTTGGGTTTATACTTAAGAGTGGAGTTGCTGGGCCATATGGCAATTCTATAGTAATATGGAATTCTCAAAAATTCTATATTTAACTTTTTGAGGAACTGCCAAACTGTTTTCCCCAGCGGCTGCGCCACCTTACAGTCCCACCAGCAGTGAGTGAGGGCTCCCATGCCCACATCCTCACCAACACCTGTGTTCTTCTGGGTTTTTAAATCATTATTCTAGCAATCCCAGTGGGTGCGAACTGGTGTCTTGTGGTTTGACGTGCATTTCCCCAACAATTAGTGATGTTGGGCATCTTTTCACGTGCTCATCGACCATTTGCATATCTTCTTTGGAGAAGTGACTCTTCGGGCCCTTTGCCCATTTTTTAACTGGATTGATTGTCTGTTTACTGTGAGTCGTTGTGTGAGTTCTTTATATATTCTGGATGCTGGAACCTGGTCAGATATACGATTGCAGATACTGCTGTCTCCCATTCTGTCGGTCGTTCTAAATTACCTTCTTAAAGTAACTTTGGTAGGTTGCACCTTTCTGGCCAGACGCTCGAGCTCGCGGTTCTGAGCAGCGTCTCTCATTGCTAAGGTGCTTCATCGCCGCGCAGGGGCGCTGGTGGCAGGCACGAGTGAGCAGAAGGGCCCCGGGGGCCTGGGCAGGGACGCCGCACGGCCCTGAGGAGGGAGGCCTCTGCGGGCACTGGCTGCAGTGCTGGGCAGGGGCTGCAGTGACCAGACGCGAGTGGCCTTGCTAGGCCCCAAAGCAGAGGGTTGCAGGGCACAGATGCTCCGTCTACCCACCCCGCCAGGCCCACCGCCCCAGATCTCTCCTTCTCTCTTCCTCTGCTGCCTAGAACAAGCACAGCTCCGTTCCACCGCATCTGGTGGAAAACTGGGCTGCAGGGAATTGGCAGTGGGTTCGTGCCTTTGTTCATTCATTCAAGATGCTTCCCGAGCTCCCAGCTGCCAGTGCCAAGGGGGTGCTGGGGCGTAACCGTCCCCGGCAGGAGCCCTAGACGGTGAACAGAAACATCTGTGTGGCTGTAATTGCAGAGGGCTCTGGGCGGGCCACGGGCGGGTGTGTCATGGGGTCTGATGCCAGCAGGGCCATCAGAGCCGTCTTCCTTCTGGTTAAGCGGCCCACTGGGGCCTGAGGAAGGAGCAGAGGCCGTTCGGCAACCAGAAGAGCATTCCACGCTGGGGGAACAGCATGTGCTAAGTGAGCTGGGGATGCCATGCACAAGACCCAGATCCTCAGGAGGGCAGCCAGGAGCATCCTGTCGGTCAGCCCCGGCCCCTGGAGGCCCGTCACCTGGCCGAGGTCCGGCATACACATCGTCACTCAGATCTGGCTCCTTCTCATCACTCCTGCTTCTAGAACAGAGTTCCCCGGGGACGCTTGTCCCATGTCCCTGTCTTCCTATGATCTGGAACGTTCTTACTTGGCTCAAAGAGTGCAGCTCCAGAGTGAGGCTGCCTGAGTTCAGTCAGAGCTCAGCTCCACACGAGCTGTGTGACTTTGGGCAGGTTCCTGAGCCTCTCTGTGCCGCCGTCTCCCTGTCTGCAGGACGTGGATAATGATAATAACCGAGTGGGGGTAGTTCACGTGCACGCACGCTCTCCACCCCCCGCTCCCGCAGCCTCTGTTGCTTGTGGATGGCCTGTCTCCTTTCCGACCCCAGCGCCTGAAGCCACGCCTGGCACACGGTCCTATGGGGACGCAGCTCCCCTGGACTGTTCAGGTCCCATCCCTGCCGCGTACCGGCTCTGCAGCCTCGGGGAGCTGCTCCACCTCTCTGTGCCTTGGTTTCCTAGTCGTTCAAGCAGGGACAAGAGATGGACCCGCCTAGTGAGTGTGATGAGAGTGAGGTGAGCAGATCCCGGCACGGCGTCTGCCGGGACCCGGTCCATCCGCGTGACAACGGCAGCCAATGCTGGTTTCCGCTGCCTCCCGTCACCCTGTCACCTGCGCAGGGTGGGAGCCGCCAGCCACCGGGCCTGCCTCCCTTGCCTGGAGGCTCGGGGTTGGGGGGGCTGGCGAGAACACCCAGGCACGCAACCCAGAGAACAGAGCGGGGTGGGCACACTTTTTCTGGAAAGGACCGGAGAGTAGGTGTTGGAGGCTTCACGGCCACGAGGCTCTGTTGCAGGCGCTCGACGCTGCGTCAGAGCCGCAGCAGCCGCGGACAGCGCGCGGACGAACGGGTGTGGCTGGGTGCCAGGAAAACCTTATTTATAGATGCTGAAATTTGAATTCATATGACTTGCGTGTCTCACAAAATATTATTATTTTGATTTTTTTTCAGCTAGTTAAAAATGTAAAACCATTCTGAGCTCGCAGGCTGGGGTTGGGCTTCAGACTACAGTTTGCCATCCCCCCATCTATAGCCGTTAGTCCTGGCTCGTTCTCCCCACTCCCACCCCTGGCCTCACTTTCCCCATCTGTAAAAGGACTGCGGCCCCTTCCAGCTCCCACGTCCCTGGATGCTTCTCTCGGCCCGTGTGGCCTGCCCAGCGGGCCTGGCAGGCTGTGCCTTCTCCCCGGCAGCCCTGGGCAGGCTCGGGAGAGGACCCAGGCATTGGCCCCTGCACAGCGGCTCCCAGGGCGCCAGGGATGGGAGACCCCCTGCACGTGTGGGCCCCTCTCTGCCCCAAGCTGGGCGCATGGCAGCGGCTCAGATGGGCATCATGAGGATGGTCGTTGCTGGATGCCCAGGGCAGGTGCCCGGGGAAGCGCTGGCCTTGAAGGCCAGGCCTGGGTGTTCACCTCTGGCCTCTTGCTCGCGTGCTTTCCTCGGCCACCCTGACTTCACCCCCCACCCACCCCCCAGCAGCGCTGGTGAGCCGGACAGGGGTGCGGGCAGGGATGGGCGAGTGCCTGTCTCTGACCTCTCTGCTTCACACTCTGGGCCTCAAGCCGCCCCACCCCCCGGCCCTCCACAGCCCCAGGCTGCCCCCCGATGCCCCTTTTCTGTCTCCTGCAGGCAGAGTACAGGCTGTGCAATGGATCCGACAAGGAATGTGTGTCCCCCACAGCCAAGGTCACCAAGAAGGAAACTCTCAAGGTGGGCACAGGCCTGGGAGGAGGCATGGGTGTGAGCAAGCACTGGCCAGAGAGGCTACCACCCCCCAACCTGCCACAGGCGGGGGGACAAACTGGCCACCTCTGTGCCCCCCACTTCCTCTCCCCTCCCTGCCCTGTCCTCATCCCCCGGGGCTGGACGGTGGAGGTCCCGGGGGCAGGAGCTGGGGGGTGGCCAGCCAGGCCTTCTCCCTGACCCGCCCGCGGGGTGCCCTGGGCCCAGGTGCAGAAGGAGAACTACCGGCAGGAGAAGAAGCGCGCCACCAGGCAGCTGTTCAGCGCCCTGACGGACCCCAGCGTGGTCATCATGGCCGACAGCCTGAAGGTAGGCGCGACTGGCACCGTGTTGTCCGCGGCTCATTCAGGAGGCCTCCGGAGGGGACGGGGCAAAGTCACAGCCCCTCGGGAGATGGTTCGCTGTGTTTGTTACTGCGAGTCTGTGTCAGTGTCCTGGGGCTGCCCTAACGAATGGCCACATGCTGGTGGCTGAAAACAATAGAAATTCATTCTCTCCCAGTTCCGGAGACCAAAGTCCAAAATCGAGGTGTCGCAGGGCCATGCTTCCTCCCCTGGTTCCAGGGGAGGATCCTTCCTGCCTCTCCCAGCTTCGGGGGGCTCCAGGCGTTCCTGGGCCTGTGGCTATATCACCCCAGTCTCTGCCTCCATCGCACACGGCCTCCTCCCAGTGTCTCTCTGTGACCTGTTCTCTTCTTATAAGGGCACAGTCCCTGGATCAGGGCCCACCCTCCCCACTGTGGCCTCATCTTCACTTGCTTACCTCTGCAAAGACACTCTGTCCAGTTAAGGTGGGGGCTCTGGCGTGCGGGTGGGGGTCCCGGCTGTCTGTGGCGCCCTGTGCTGGGGCACAGGAGGGAGGCGAAACTCAGGCTTCACGGGAAAGGACCGGGGTTGGGGTCAGAGGCCGTGTCCAGACCTCACTCAGGTGGTGGGCAGTTCCCTCAGCCCCGAGCCTCGGTTTTCCCCTCCGTACGGTGCGGGGAACGCTGCCGAATGCAGGGCTGCCGTGAAGAGCAGACGAGACGAGTGCACTTGGAGCCTGGTCGTCTGCAGAGCCCTGGGCCTGCGGGGCTCCTTTCCCCCCACAAAATTATGCATAAAAACTTAGGGACCAAAGTGACTATATATTTAGAGCGAGAAAACAAACGACAGCAGGTTTCACACTTTACACAGTGGGCAGTTACAGCGGTCACAGCTCGTTGCCGGTCCCTCCCAGGACCCCGGAGGACCTGGGACCTGAGATTGCACTTAGCCTTGAGCTTCAGAGCTTCAGTAGTAAATGTGTGCCCAGCTGCAGCGCATTTCTTTAGGGTCACCGTACTTTATGAACTCCTTTTAAAACTAGCAGAGAAATCTGGCCGCAGCCCAGAGCCCCACCCCGCTCTGGCCCCCGACCCCCAGCCGTCCAGCTGCCCCAGGGGCATTGGCCTCCGAGCCGTAGCCAGCAGTGGCATCCCTCCCTGCAGATCCGCGGGACCCTGAAGAGCTGGACCAAACTGTGGTGCGTGCTGAAGCCGGGGGTGCTGCTCATCTACAAGACGCCCAAGGTGGGCCAGTGGGTGGGCACCGTCCTGCTGCACTGCTGCGAGCTCCTCGAGCGGCCCTCCAAGAAGGACGGCTTCTGCTTCAAGCTTTTCCACCCGCTGGACCAGTCCGTCTGGGCCGTGAAGGTGCTGCCGTGGGAGCCCGGGGCTCGGGAGGGCCAGGCCCCTGCCAGGAGAGAGGCCCCACGGGGGCCGTGTAGGAGAAGGGTACCTTGGGCCGTCATGGGGCTCGTCCGGGGGCCCGAGAAACGGCTGTCAGTTCGAAATGGGCCCCTCGCCGCCCAGCTGCGGGGGCCCTGGGTTAAATCTCGCAATGGCCGGGGGATCAGATGCGGTCCCTGGCCCTCCATGTGGAGGTGACACGATGGGATCCAGATCACACCTCAAGCCCTGCCCAGAGGCTGAGCAACAGGGCCATGCGAGCAGCTGCCCCCATCTCACCCCTCATAACCCCGGGGCTGCCCAGCGCAGGATGAACTGGAGTCAGATTGCCAGATCAAATCCAGAATGCCCGGGTGAATTTGGATGTCAGAGCAACATCAAATCGCTTTTTAGTATAAATGTGTCCCAAATGTTGCACGGGTACACTTATACTAAAGAACAGTATTTATTATTTCTCTGAGATTTGAGTTGAACTGGGCCTCCTGGGTTTGCACATGCTGATTCTGGCCGCCCTAGGCTGGGGAGCTCAGAGCTGGAAAGCCGAGGGCGGAGCCACCAGCTAAGAAGGGGCGAGAGAGCTCCTGGCCCGTTCACCTCCCCTGTCTGCGTGGCCGGTGCCTGACCCCGCGTGGGGGTCCTGAGGCCCCAGAAGTGTCTGCGTGGCCGATGCCTGACCCCGCGTGGGGGTCCTGAGGCCCCAGAAGTGTCTGCGTGGCCGATGCCTGACCCCGCGTGGGGGTCCTGAGGCCCCAGAAGTGTCTGCGTGGCCGATGCCTGACCCCGCGTAGGGGTCCTGAGGCCCCAGAAGTGTCTGCGTGGCCGATGCCTGACCCCGCGTCGGGGTCCTGAGGCCCCAGAAGTGTCTGCGTGGCCAGTGCCTGACCCCGCCTGGGGGGTCCTGAGGCCCCGGAAGTGCGCATGCGTGTCTCGGTGTGGGTCTGCATGCCCTGAGTGACCTGTTCCACCTGTTCCCGGGTGTTCCCACGAGTGACGCGGGGTCTCTGCTCCTCCAGGGCCCCAAAGGCGAGACTGTGGGCTCCATCACACAGCCCCTGCCCAGCAGCTACCTGATCTTCAGGGCCGCCTCTGAGTCAGATGGTGAGTCCCCGCCTACCCTGCAGGTCTCCCGGTGGCCCTGTCTGAAACGGGGTCCCCGTGGCAAAGTTGTAGACGTGCACGTGGCCCAGTTCAGGCCCTTCCGCCACCATCTAGGAAGGAGGCAGCCTGATGTCACGGGACAAGCCCTGGCCTGGGCCAGACAGGCCTGCCACTCACTAGTACCCCTCTCTGAGCCTCGGTTTCCCCACGGGCAAAGCGTGAACAGTAACACCTGTCGTTATGACTTTGTATACAGCAACCAGGTCATTCCTGAGCGCCGACCACGTGCCAGGCACCATCGAATCAATAGGTTCTACTGTTACCATCCACCTTTGACACATGAGGAAACTGAGGCACGGGCCGGCTGCCAGCAAGAAAGTGCTAGAGCCTGGATAGGAATCGATTTCCCCACTCCCAATGCGTCACACGTTGAAGGAGCGCTCTCCAGTGGTTGCTCCCAGTAAATGCGTCTGCCCCTCCCTCCAAGCCCTCCGGACGGGCACCTCCTGGGCAGGCGGTGAGGGGCTGCCATCCCACCAGTGGTCCAGGGCGGGCAGGGCCCTGCCAAGGCAGCCTGGCCCGACCCCTGGGCTCCAGCCCTTCCCGCTTGGAGTGGAGCGGGCGGCGGGCGGCGGTCCTGCTGGTGTGATGCCGCCCCCTGGTGGTCAGACTCCGCATCCACACTCTGCCAAGTCTAAATTTCACCCTCTTTTCCCAAGTCCCTGACTGTGTGCCAGGCCCCAAGTGGGCCCTGGATGGACAGGGCAGCCCGTGCCGTCATGGAGCCCGCAGTCTTGGGGGAGAGATGAGCAGTGAAGTGTCAGACAAGGCCAATTGGGCTGGAGCGTGAGCTGAGCCCCTGGTGGGGTTGGGGACCAGGATCAGGGAAGAAGGGTGTCCACAGTACCTGTGGGTATCAGGGTGGGCTTCCTGGAGGAGGCAGCAGAGGCCTTGGGATGGGCTCAAAGGGTGCATAATATTCAGGATGTCCAGTCCTTTGTGGGCACCAGAGAACACGCACATTCAGGCCCCAGTTCCAACTTGATGGGTGCTGTACCTATGACCTCCCACCTTTGTCTCCCGTGAATGTTCAGCCCAGGCTGGGGCGCTCGGGCTCCAACTGAGCCTGGGGTGAACCCCTGGCAGGACCCCAGGGGTCCCCTGAGAAGCAGGAGCCACCACTCCTGCAAGCCCCTCCCCGCAATTCCCATTCTGTGGTTTTCAATGTTGGGGAAGGAGGCTGCTCAGAGAAGAACCTTCTTCAGAGTTCCTTAATCCCGCACCCCACGCTCACAGACCCCCGAAGGCTGTCTGAGGGTAACACGAAGAGCACGACACATCGTTACAGACCCTCTCGCTCGTGGAAGGGCCACTGTTAGTGATGGCACCAGGATGTCGGGGGTCGCCTGGTGGACACATGTCCCCACCGCTGTTAACACCCTGGGACACACTGGTGGTGCTGGCCTAACCCGCCGGCGGCCTCCAGCAGGAAGGCGGCAGGGACAGGGGATGAGAGCTGGGGATTGGAGGCAGCTGGCTCTGCTACCTCCCCTCTGTGGTCCTGGTCCACTTGCTCTACCCACCCCACCCCAGGCCTCCCTCCCCGCCCTCCCAGTCGTCCCCAGGGATCTGCTCGACACCGGGAGCGCCCCTCTGCGGCCTTGGCCAGCCCTCCCACTTGGATGCTCCTTGGGTTTGGCAGCCCCCTTCCCAGCCTGCCGCCCACCCTCCTGCCCTGTGCTCCAGGCCAGCAGGAGCCCGAGGCCTGGCCCCCAAGGCCCACTCCTGTTCCCCGACCTGTGGCAGACGGTTCCCACCAGGGAGGCCTCCTCCCCACTCCATGTGTGGGAACCTGCGGGGCGTCTGGGTGGAGGGAGCTCTGAGTCTTGTTAGGGTGGGACCGTGAGGGGCTGTGTGAGCATCCTTTGATCCCCTCTGAAGGGCAGCTTCCGCCAGACAGGCGTCTCTCCAGAGTCACAGCCTGCCCACTAAGCCTGTGGCCACAGGACTCTTCGGGCCTGCCCCCTGCACGCACACACACGCGCACACACACGCCCACAGCAGAGGTCCCTGTGGGAGGCAGAATCTCCAGGTGGATGGTGGGGAGGGACGGGGATCTCTGTTGGGGAGGGACAGGGGCCGCATCCCTGGTGGGGAGGGGCAGGGCTAAGTGGGGCTGTCTCCTGGGCTTGGGGGGGGATCCCTGAAGAGTCAGGAGAAGGCGGGGAGCTTTCTGGGGGGGCCACAAGAGGGGCTCTTTGGTAAGGATAGGCCAAAGGGAAGGGGTGGGCCCCCCATGTAGGGGGGCCGGAAAGGGCTCCCTGAGGTGAGTTGGGGGCTCCTTGGGACAGAAGAGGGGCATCCCAGTCAGTGGGCGCTCCCTGGTAGGAGGCTTCAGGAGATGGGGACTCCTTGGTGAGGAAGGGCGGGAGTGGGGCAAGGGGACTCCCCGGCGGAGGGGCAGGGGGCTCCCCAGGGTGCGGCTGGCTCAGCCCACACTCCGCCCGCAGGCCGCTGCTGGCTGGACGCCCTGGAGCTGGCACTGCGCTGCTCCAGCCTCCTGCGACTCAGCACGTGCAAGCAGGGCCGCGACGGGGAGCCCGGGTCCTCGCCAGACGCGTCGCCCTCCTCACTCTGCGGGCTGCCCCCCTCCGCCGCCATCCACGACCAGGACCCGTTCCCGTGAGCAGGGCGCGGAGGGCGGGGATCGGCCCCTCCCGGGAGCCCGGGAACCCCCAGACCCTGGCTGTCACTGGCACTAACACACGGGTCTCTTTGTACGTGGGGCAAACTCAATATGTGGCTGGCCACCCAAGCCTCAGGTCAGGAGGCCGGCCTCCTCCACTCCGTGTGGACCTGAGAGCCTCAGTTTCTTCATCTATAAACTGGGCTCATAGCGTCAAATGCCGGTTGCCATGGCAATTAAACCCAGGGGTGTGGGTGAAGCGCCCAGCGGTGACGGGGCCCTGGATGGGGGTGCAGGGGTAGAGGTACCCCAGAGTGGGGGTGCCTGGGCCTCACCTGTGACCAGGGACCCACAGGCGCCACCTGCCTTCCAGACTGAATGGGTCCTCCCTGGAGAATGATGCTTTCTCGGACAAGTCGGAGAGAGAGAACGCTGAGGAGTCAGATACCGAGGCCCAGGACCACAGCCGGAAGACTGAGAGCGGGAGTGACCAGTCGGAGACCCCGGGGCGCCCAGCGCGGAGAGGGACCACGTATGTGGAGCAGGCCCACGAGGAGCTGGGGGAGGTGAGAGCCTGCCCGCCTGGGGCCCCGGGTGTCACCCTGCACCCCGCCCCTCCTCCCTGAAGCAGTGTGGCCGTGCTGGCCGCCAGTCCCCTGGAGGAGAGCCTGCAGGGCCCTGGGTCACGGAAAGGTCAGGATGGCAGGACTTGGGGAGAGCGGGAAGGGCCGTGAGGGCTGGGGGCGAGGGGCAGAGGGAGAAGCCCGGACCTGCCAGGGAGGAGCTGTTGTCTGGAGCAAGCCGAGGGCGCCGGGCCCGGGGCAGCGGTGGAGAAGGGGAGGCGGGGCATTTGGGCGCATCCCGAGGTGTTCAGAGAGGCAGGTCCAGCCAGACTGAGGTGCTGCCTGTGAGGCGGGCGCCCTGGGAGCAAGAGCTGGCAGCTGGGGTGGGGACAGGACTGTGTCCCGGGTCCAGACGTCCAGGGGAGCTGCTGCTGCACGTGAGGGTCTAGGGCTCAGGGTGGTGGTCTGGACGTTAGGGCGTGGGGCGGGCAGCCCGAGGTCGCAGGGGCGGGGCACCCCGGGCTTCAGAGGCTGAGCATGGACAAGGCCCTGCAGAGGAGCCCAGGAGGCGGGAGGGAGCCCAGAGTGCGGGGGTCACGGGGCAGCTGTGCTGAGAAGTGGAGCAGGAGGGCAGAGGGGGTGACCACTGGATCAGTCACCGGGGTGGTGGTGACCTTGCCAGGGCATTCTGACAGGGGGCAGGATTAAAGGGAGTGGGGGTGGGATGTGGGGGTGCAGGGGGTTTCCCCGCTGTGGCAGCTGCCCCTGTGGGCCCGAAGCTGGCCTGGAAATGGAGAGATGCTCAGGGCTTCACGTGGCCACTCATCAGCTGACCCTTCCAGGCCCCCTCATGGGGGTCAGGCGTGGCCCCTCCTCCAGGGGCTCCCCGTCCCCTAGGTGCCCAGGCATGCTGTCCAAGCAAGTCCCAGTAGGCCTCGGCTGCAGCTGTGCACGCACAGAGAGGCAAAGTGACTTGTGTAAGGCAGCCTAGCAGGGAGGTGATGGATCCCCATGAGGGCTGACTGCTGGCCCTGTTCTGTCTCCCTGGGGGTGGCTGCCATCCAGGCAAGAACGCAGACAGCCCTGAGTTCAGATTCCCAGCTGTGCGACCCTGGGCAAGTCACTTGTCCCTCTGTAGAGTGGGGTGACTACAGTGAGGGTGCCCGGGGACTGCTGCGAGGAGTGGGTCTAGAGAGAAGGAAGAGGAACGCCAGCGGCCTGGGACCCTGCTCTGCCTCCTTAGCCCAGGTCCAGCTCCAGGCCTCCCTGGGAGCTCAGAGGGGTGGGGGCCTGGGGGGTCCCCAGCCAAGTCCCTCCACAGCCCAGTCCCGAGGCCTCGGAGCCACAGATGGTGGGGGTCCCCAGTGAGGGGAGATGGGCTTGGTGTTCGCCCAGGCGCTGCAGCCTGGTGGGACTTGCTACAAGCGAGGGGAGGGTCCCCACTGGCTGGCCCTGTCCCATGAGCACCCAACAGAGCTGGCCATGCCTCCCAGCACCTGCCCTCCCGGCCCACCATCCTGAAACGCCTCTGTGACCTTTTATAAGGTGATCCTGCCTCCCTGAGGGTTTGCTGTCCGGTGTGGAGTGGGAGATGGACCCCCGCCTCCCCGCCCCCCGCCCAGACTTGGCCGGATGAAGCCGGAAGTCCTGGGCTCAGTCTCCACAGCACGTGTGTGGCAGCTACGGTGATAGGCATCTCAGAGAAGAGCAGACAGGGGTCCAGGGCAGCCCTCTAGCCGTGTACCCAGGACAAATGAGGGCCCTTTTTTTTGAGGTGTTTTTTTTATTGGTGTCATAATAGTTTATAACATTGTGAAATTTTAGTTGCACATTATTGTTTGTCACTCACCATATAAATGCATCCCTTCACCCCTTGTGCCTGCCCCTCAACCCCCTTCCCCCTGGTAACCACCAAACTGTTCTCTCTGTCTGTGTGTTAGTTTATCTTTCACTTATGAGTGAAATCATATGGTGTTTGTCTTTCTCTGGCTTATTTTGCTTAACATAATACCCTCCAGGTCCATCCATGTTGTTGCAAATGGGACGATTTTGTCTCTTTTATGGCTGAGTAGTATTCCGTTGTATATATATACCACATCTTCTTGATCCAATCATCAGTCGAGGGACACTTGGGTTGCTTCCACTTCTTGGCTATGGTGAATAATGCTGCAATGGACATAGGGGTATATAAGCTTCTTTGGATTGTTGATTTCAGGTTCGTTGGGTAGATTCCCAGTAGTGGGATAGCTGGATCATAATGTATTTCTATTTTTAATTTTTTGAGGAATCTCCATACTGTTTTCCATAGAGGCTGCACCAGTTTGCATTCCCACCAGCAGTGAATGAGGGTTCCCATTTCTCCACAGCCTCTCCAGCATTTGTTATTTTTTGTCTTGGTGATCATAGCCATTCTAACGGATAAAAGGTGATATCTTAGTGCAGTTTTGATTTGCATTTCTCTGATGATTAGTGATGTTGAACATCTTTTCATGTGCCTATTGGCCATCTGTATACCTTCCTTGGAAAAATGTCTCTTCATTTCTTCTGCCCATTTTTTGGTTGGATTGTTTGTTTTTTTTGTTGTTCAGCTGTGTGAGTTCTTTATATATTATGGAGATTAACCCCTAGTCGGATATCTGGTTTGCAAATATTTTCTCCCAGCTGGTGGATTGTCTTTTCATTTTGATCCTGGTTTCGTTTGCCTTGCAGAAGCTCTTTAGTCTGATGAAGTCCCACTTGTTTATTTTTTCTTTTGTTTCCCTTGTCCGAGTAGACATGGAATTCAAAAAGATCCCTCTATGACCAATATCAAAGAGTGTACTGCCTATGTTTTCTTCCTGGATTTTTATAGTTTCGGGTCTCACCTTCAAGTCTTGGATCTATTTTGAGTTAATTTTTGTGTATGGTGAAAGAAAACAGTCTACTTTCATTCTTTTGCATGTGGCTGTTCAGTTTTCCCAGCACCGTTTATTGAAGAGACTTTCCTTTCTCCACTGTATGTCCTTAGCTCCTTTGTCTAAGATTAGCTGTCCATAGATGCGTGGATTTATTTCTGGGCTTTCAATTCTGTTCCATTGATCTATGTGTCTGTTTTTGTACCAGTACCATGCTGTTTTGATTACTATCGCTTTGTAGTATGTTTTGGAGTCAGGGATTGTGATGCCTCCAGCTTTGTTCTTTTTTCTCTGGAGTGCTTTAGCTATTTGGGGTCTTTTGCTGCCCCATATGAATTTTAGTATTCTTTGTTTTATTTCCATGAAGAATGTCCTTGGGATTCTGATTGGGATTGCATTGAATCTGTAGATTGCTTTAGGTAATATAGACATTTTAACTATGTTTGTTCTTCAAATCCGTGTGCATGGGATATCTTTCTGTTTCTTTATATGATCATCAATTTCTTTCAATAATGTCTTATAGTTTTCAATATATAGGTCTTTCAGCTCCTTGGTTAAATTTTTTCCTAGATGTTTTATTCTTTTTGTTGCGATTGTAACGGGATTGTCTTCTTGAGCTTTCTTTCTGTTAGTTTGTTGTTGGTATATAGAAATGCAACTGATTTCTGTAAGTTGATTTTGTACCCTGCAACTTTGCTGTAGTAGTTGATTATTTCTAATAGTTTTCCAGTGGATTCTTTAGGGTTGTCTATATATAAAATCATGTCATCTACAAACAGGGAGAGTTTCACTTCTTCGTTGCCTATTTGGATTCCTTTTATTCCTTTTTCTTGCCTAATTGCTCTGGCCAGAAGCTCCAGTACTGTGTTGAATAAGAGTGGCGAGAGTGGACACCCTTGTCTTGTTCCTGTTCTGAGAGGAATGGCTTTCAGTCTTTCCCCATTGAGTATGATGTTGGCTGTGGGTTTGTCATATATGGCCTTTATTATGTTGAGGTACTTTCCTTCTATTCCCACTTTGTTGAGAGTTTTTATCATAAATGGATGTTGTATCTTGTCAAATGCCTTCTCTGTGTCTATTGAGATGACCATGTGCTTTTAATTCTTTATTTTGTTGATGTGGTGTATCACGTTGATTGATTTGCAGATGTTGAACCATCCCTGCGTCCCTGGTATAAATCCCACATGATCATGGTGTATGATCTTTTTAATGTATTGCTGTATTCAATTTGCCAATATTTTGTTGAGGATTTTTGCATCTTTGTTCATCAGCTATATTGGCCTGTAATTTTCCTTCTCTGTATTGTCCTTGTCTGGCTTTGGTATCACGGTGATGTTGGCCTCATAGAATGTGTTAGGAAGTGTTCCATCTTCCTCTATTTTTTGGAATAGTTTGAGAAGGGTATGTATTAAGTCTTCTTTGAATGTTTGGTAGAATTCTCCAGAGAAGCCATCTGGTCCTGAAATTTTATTTTTTGGGAGGTTTTTGGTTACTGTTTCAATCTCTTTACTTGTGATTGATCTGTTCAGATTCTCTATTTTTTCTTGATTCAGTTTTGGGAGGTTGTATGAGTCTAAGAATTTATCCATTTCTTCTAGGTTGTCCAATTTGTTGGCATATAGTTTTTCATAGTCTTTTCTTATAATCCTTCGTGTTTCTGTGGTATCCATTGTAATTCTCCTCTTTCATTTCTAATTTTCTTTATTTGAGACTTCCCTCTTTTTTCTTAGTGAGTCTGGCTAAGGGTTTGTTAATTTTGTTTATCTTCTCAAAGAACCAGCTCTTTGTTTCATTGATCCTTTCTACTGTTTTTTTTATTTCAATTTCATTTATTTCTACTCTGACTTTTATTGTTTCCCTCCTTCTGCTGACTTTGGGATTTGTTTGCTCTTCTTTTTCTAATTCTGTTAGGCATAGTTTGAGGTTACTTATTTGGCATTTTTCTTGTTTGTTAAGGTAGGCCTGTATTGCTGTGAGTTTCCCTCTTAGGACCACTTTTGCTGCATCCCATATGGTTTGGTATGGCATATTTTCATTTTTGTTTGTTTCCAGATAGTTTTTGATTTCTCCTTTAATTTCTTCAATGATCCATTAGTTGTTCAGTAGCATGTTGTTTAGGCCTCACATCTTTGTCACTTTCCCAGCTTTTTTCTTGTAGTTGATTTCTAGTTTCATAGCATTGTGGTCAGAAAAGATGCTTGTTATGATTTCAATCTTCTTAAATTTATAGAGGCTTGGGGCCGGCCTGGTGGCATAGTGGTTAAGTTCATGCACTCTGCTTCAGAGGCCCAGAGCTCGCAGGTTCGGATCCCGGGCGTGGACCTACGCAGGGCTTATCAAACCATCTTATGGCAGGCGTCCCACATATAAAGTAGAGGAAGATGGGCACAGATGTTAGCCCAGGGCCAATCTTCCTCAGCAACAAGAGGAGGATTTGCAACAGATGTTAGCTCAAGGCTAATCTTTCTCACCAAAAAAAAAAATTTATAGAGGCTTGCCTTGCTTCCCAACATATGGTCTATCCTTGAGAATATTGCATGCGCACTTGAGAAGAATGTGTAATCTGCTGTGTTAGGATGGAGTGCTCTATATATATCTATTAAGTCCATCTCGTCTAGGTTTTCATTTAAGTCCGCTATTTCCTTATTGACGTTTTGTCTGGATGATCTATCCACTGATGTAAGTGGGTATTAAGATCCCCTACTATTATTGTGTTGTTGTTAATATCTCCTTTTAGGTTTGTTAATAGTTGCTTTATGTACTTTGGTGCTCCTGTGTTGGGTGCATATATATTTATAAGTGTTATGTCCTCTTGGTGGAGTGTCCCTTTTATCATTATATATTTCCCTTCTTTGTCTCTCATTACCTGTTTTATCTTGAAGTCAACTTTGTCTGATATAAGTATGGCAACACCTGCTTTCTTTTGTTTGCCATTAGCTTGGAGTATCATCTTCCATCCCTTCACTCCGAGCCTGTGTTTGTCTTTAGAGCTGAGACGTGTTTCCTGGAGGCAGCATATTGTTGGGTCTTGTTTTTTAATCCATCCAACCACTCTGTGTCTTTTGATTGGAGAATTCAATCCATTTACATTTAGAGTTATTATTGATATAAGAGGGCTTATTGTTGCTATTTTATCACTCATTTTCTGGTTCTTTTGCGTTGTCTTTGTTTCTCATCTCATGTGTTTTGGACTACCAATTCAGTTTGGTAGTTCTGCATGATGGTTTTCTTAGTTTTCCCTTTATTTATCATATGTGTCTCTGTTCTGTTTATTTGTTTAGTAGTTACCATGAGGTTTGTATAAAAAATCTCATAGATGAGATAGTCCTTTTTCTGATGGCCTCTTATTTCCTTAGACTAAGTCGATTCCATCCCTTACCTCTCCCCCTTCTAAGTTATTATTGTCACAACTTATTCCAACTTGTGTTGTGAGTTTGTGTTTAAAGTGATGAAGTTATATTCATTTTTGATGTTTTCCTTCCCTTAATCTTTGATGTTATAATTAAGTGTTTGCTAACCTATTCTGATAGAGAGCTGCAATTGTTCTTATTTTGTCTAGCTATTTTTCTCCTTGCTCAAAGCTTTGAATCCCCTTTCTCTTTTTTTTTCCCCCCCTCAGGAATGAGGGCCTTCTTGAGCATTTCTTGTAGTGGGGGTCTTGTGGCAATGAACTCCCTGAGATTTTGTTTATCTGGGATAGTTATTATTTGTCCATCATATCTGAAGGATGTTTTTGCTGGATAGAGTATTCTTGTCTGAAAGTTTTTGTCTTTCAGAATTTTGAATATATCATTCCACTCTCTCCTAGCCTATAAAGTTTCTGCCAAGAAATCGGCTGAGAGCCTGATAGTAAATCCTTTGTATGTTTTTTTTTTTTCTCATTGCCCTTCATATTTTTTCTTTATTGTTGACTTTTGCCAGCTTTACTACTATATGCCTTGGAGAGGGTCTTTTCATGTTGATACATTTAGGAGATCTATTGATTTCATTCACTTGTATTTCCAGCTCCTTCCCCAGGTTTGGGAAGTTCTCAGCTATTATTGCTTTGAACAAGCTCTCTGCACCTTTTCCCCTCACTTCTCCCTCTGAAATACCTATTATCCTTATGTTGCGTTTCCTAATTGAATCAGATATTTCTCAGAGAATTTCTTTATTTCTTTTTAGTCTAAGTTCTCTCTCCTCCTCCATCTGGCGCATTTCTGCATTCCTATCCTCAATATTGCTAATTCTTTCCTCCATATTGTCAGCTCTGTTCTTTAAAGATTCCAGAATTTTCTTTATCTCCTCCATTGTGTTTTTCATCTCCAACATTTCTGATTGATTTTTCTTTAGAGTTTCAATCTCTTTTGTGAAGAAGTTCCTGATTTCATTGACTTGTCTATCTGTGTTTTTTTGTAATTCATTGAGCTTTTTTATGATAGCTATTTTGAATTCTCTGTCATTTCGGTTATAAATTTCTGTGCCTTCAGCATTGATTTCTGGGTGCTTGTCATTTTCCTTCTGGTCTGGAGGTTTAATATATTTTTGCATAGTGCTTGAGGGCGTGGGCTTATTTTTCCTCATTCTGAAAATATCTGGTTGCAGCTTCCCCCTGCCATCACTGGCTGGGGGTCAAGAGATGTGTATTCTGAGCCCACTGCGATCCGCGGAGGGCTCCTTTTTAAAGGAAGTGCAGGCCTGAAGCGCCTGCATTGCCAGGCAGTCATGGAGATTGTGGGCCAGAGGAGTCTCCCCATGCACATGGCACCTCCTGCCATGGGCGCAGAGTCCTGCAAAATCCACAGATGGGTTTCAGCAGCCAGGGTGGGAGAGGCTCCACCCTGGACTCAGAGAGTGGGGGTTTGCACAGACCCAGGGCAGAGCCCAGGTCAGCCAGGCTGGAGGGAGTCAGGGCCCAGCGGCCTGGGGTGGGACACGTTCTGGAAAGTGCAGGGGTCAGGTGGGGCCAGACCAGGGGCTTCCCCTGATGGGGTGGTGGACTGCAGCAGCCCCCTCCCATCACGCCTCCTCCAGCCAGAGCCAGCTGCCGCTGTCCTGCCCACCCCTCCCGCTTCCTTGGGCAGCCAGAGCTGGGGGCCTGACCATAGCCCCTCTGCCAGCAGCTGGGCGAGGCGTCCCAGGTGGAGACGGTGTCCGAAGAGAACAAGAGCCTGATGTGGGTCCTGCTGAAGCAGCTACGGCCTGGCATGGACCTGTCCCGTGTGGTGCTACCCACGTTCGTGCTGGAGCCCCGCTCCTTCCTCAACAAACTCTCTGACTACTACTACCACGCCGACCTGCTCTCCAGGTGAGCCAGGAGGGGGCCCATCGCACACATGTGTGCCCAGAGACCCCCAGCCTCCCTCCGCCCCTGCCCGCCCCACGCAGGTTTCTGGAGGGTCCCTGGGGCTCTGGGCTGAGCTCCGTCCACTGTCCCTGCTGGCTCAGCCCTCCAAGGGGTCCAGTCTCCAAGACCAGCCCCAGGGGGAGCTGGTGGAGAGGGAGGGTGGGGGCGGCTCCATGTCCATCTAGTCAGGGCCGGACCATCAAATGTGAGCATGGGGTCTGCCCTGAGCATCTTTCATGAGCCCCAAGTCCTGAGGCCCGGCATTGGCACCTTCAGGCTGAACACAGCAGGCTATAGAGGCTGGAAAGGGGGCTGCTGGCTCAGGAGCCCACAAGAGGGAGCTGGGTGAGGGTGGGAGCACTCGGGGAGCTTCATGGAGGCAGGAGCACCTTCTCTGCCCCAGCATTGGAGCGGCTCTGACAGTTTCTGGTGAGGTGGAGAACCCACCTCCCAGGGGGGTGGGAAACTCGCCCCAATTCAGGGCTGGGAAGGACAGGAGGAGCCCACGTGGCCTGTTTCCAGCGAGTGGATAGAGGTTGGCATGGAAGGAGGGAGGGGCAGGGAAAGGGAGGAGGGGCGCAGGGACCCTGCCTGGAGTCAGGGGTCCCCCCACGTCGCAGGGCTGCACTGGAGGAGGACGCCTACAGCCGCATCAAGCTCGTGCTGCGCTGGTACCTGTCTGGCTTCTACAAGAAGCCCAAGGTAAGCGGCAGCCAGGGCGGGTGGTCCCCCCTGTGTCCCTGAACCGTCGCCCACCCTACATGGCCTTGAAGGATCCGGATGGTCCCCACGGTGGGCCCAGGCAGCCAGAGATGGGGGCAGGCCCTGACTTCCCACACAGGGGCCCCCTGGCCCAGTCAGGCCAGGCCCCCAGGGTGCTCCTCCCCATCAAGGACAGGGCTGCCACACGTGCCAGGAAAGGGGCTTTCGACCCCGAACTGCAAGGACCCTGGGACTGTGATTTCCGTCGTTTGTCTTTTAGTCATGGATCCTCTTTTGAGAGCCCCAAACCCAGGCTCAGGGGAGGGCAGGGCTGCTCTGGTTGCCGTGACAGGAGGGGCCTGCAGCTCCGCCCACTCCCCTGACCCCACCCTGGAACCCTGGGGTTCCTTGGGATGCAGGTTTGAAGCCACGATTCTGGCGCCACCTTGTCATCGTGCAGCTGGGGAAACAGGCTCAGGGAGGGAAAGGGACGGCCCAGAGTCACACAGAGGGTTGGGTGTGGAACCAGGGCTCCTGACTCTGCTGGGGCCTTTTGCGTTGGCTACAGGCTTGGGCTCGGTGGAGGTGGACCCCACGGCCCTTGGTAGGGCCAGGTGTGTGCGCACACTTAGCTGTGTTGAGTGCGTGGTCTGTTGGGGTGGAAGGGACCACTCCGGGAGGACTTCTCAGAAGAGGAGGCTCCAGAAGGCTGTCTGGGATGGGACAGTCGGGCGATGCAGGGTCAGCTCAGAGATGGACTGGGGAGCTCAGCAGAAGAAGAGTTGATGGGAGGCTGCAGGTGAGGCTTGGGGCAGGTGTCCCTCCAGAGCATCCTGCAAACATTTATGGCTCATGGAGCCTCCAGGGCGAGGCTGACACATGCGCAAAGAGCTGGAAGTGAGGGAGATCTGGGGAGGGGAGGGGGGCGCATAAAGGGAGTAACCTAGTTCCTTCACATCAGATCGGGGGTCTGAGCTGGACCCCGTGGAGACCTGGAAGGAAGGCTCTCCAGACAGAAACTTGCTCCCTCTGTAGTGGGGACCAACTTGGGCCGTTTGGGGAACAGAAAGGTGGGGAGTGTGGCTGAAGCAGAGTGAGAGGGTGGGGGGAGGTAGACAGGGCCAGAGGGTTTGGGGTGTTACTTAAAAGGTCATTAGAAGCCATTGGGGCTTTGAGTGGGCTGTGTGCTGGCTCTACTCGAAGTCCAGGGAGAGCAGGACCTGGTCGAGGTCTCATGTTCCCCTCAGGGTCAAGAAGTGGACAGGACACCTCGTAGGCTGTCCCCCCAGAATGTATATCATTGGCAAAGCATAGTCTCCCCAGACCAGAAGGGGGCTGCTGTTCCCAGAGGCAAACCAGGCCCTTCTAGAGACTTCCTCCCTGCAGATGCCCGGGGCTGTGGGCAGGGGGCAGCCCCCCGCGTTGTCCCTCCGTCCACACCCACCCTGCATGGGGTCCATGGCCCGCCCAGTTCCTCACACGAGGCTCTTCCTTCGTTACCTGCAGGGGATCAAGAAGCCCTACAACCCCATCCTGGGGGAGACCTTCCGCTGCTGCTGGTTCCATCCCCAGACCAACAGCCACACCTTCTACATAGCGGAGCAGGCAAGGCCCCCCAGCCGCACCCCGGGGGATGCTGGGCTGGGCTCTGGGCTCTGCAGTGGGCAGGACCCTGGCAGTGGGCAGAGATGGATCTGACCCTGAATGCCAACGGGGATTCTCCCAGGAGGTGCAGACACGGCACCGCGGCTGTGACAGCAGAATGTTTCCTTAGAGAGGGGACATCACATCCTGTTTCCTTCAGGGGCACTCTGGGGTGGTACGGGGATTCCCGTCTGCCCCTGGGCCCCAGGACTCAGGCCCGGCTTCCCTGGGCTCAAGAGTGAGAGCTGGAAACGCCCCATGCCCACCCCTGGCGCTAGGAGGAATGCCCTGGGCGGGGGGCTTCTCATCGGGAAGTTGGGCTCTGGCCTCCCAGGGGCTGCCCACTGCTGGGGCCATTTCTGGAGCCGCCTCTCTGCCCACAGGTGTCCCACCACCCGCCCGTGTCCGCCTTCCATGTCAGCAACCGGAAGGACGGCTTCTGCATTAGCGGCAGCATCACGGCCAAGTCCCGGTTCTACGGTGAGGGGGCTCCCCTGGGCTCTCCCCGGGGCCTGGGGAAGTGGGAGCAGGACCGGCTCCTGGAGCCGGAGGTCACCAGACCTCACGTGGTGGCCGAGTGTGTGTCCCTCCCCGCCTCTCCTAGTCAGGGACCACGTGGGTGGTAAAGTGCCCAGAACCTAGAGTCGGGCAGAGCCCAGCCCCCCGGCCCCCCAGCCCTCAGCCGTAGAGTGGGCACCGTTTGCAGAGATGCCGTGAGGGTTACGAGGAAGACCCCGCGTGGAAATGTGCCGTCTAGAGCCGACCTGTCCAGTCAGTACCGCTAGCCACTACCAGGCTGTTTGAATTGATTAAAATGAAATAAAACTTAACATGCAGCCACGTCACCTGTGCTCAGGAGCCACGTGTGGTTGGTGGCCCCCGTGAGGGACAGCGCAGGGCGGAACATTCCCACCATCACAGATAGCTCTGTCGGCAGCGCCACTGTAGGGCCGGGCACCGGGGGTGCTCAGAAAGCGTCTGCATTTTCCCGTCATTTCTTTATGGTCTTCTTGGCGGGCAGGTGCTCTGAGTACCTCTGTGTGCCCAGCGGCCTGCAGAGGGTGGGCACGGGCGGTCCCCCGTTGCCCACCCCCGTGCTCCCGTTGCTGACCGTGGCTGCGACTCTCAGCCCACAGTGGGCCATACCCCTCTAAGGAGTGTTTAAACTCGGAGCAAGGGCTCGGACCACCTCCACCCAAGAATCCTGCTTTAGTAACTGCAATGAACGTTAACGTGTAGCGAGTTAAGTAACTCCTTAGGAAGGATGACATGTGCCACCTGAACAGGGCTTGTACAGAATCTGAGGCTCAGAGAGTTTAAGTGACCCACCCACAGTCACACAGCTGGAGATGCCGGGGACTCTTTCCACCTGTTGGAAAGGAACTCAGACCCTGTGACTTAGGAGGTGGGCCCTGGGGTCCCGAGGGTCCGTCTCCACTCACTGGTTCCACTGCCTCGTCTCTGCAGGGAACTCGCTGTCGGCTCTGCTGGACGGCAAGGCCACGCTCACCTTCCTGAACCGGGCAGAGGATTACACCCTCACCATGCCCTACGCCCACTGCAAAGGTGAGAGGCCGCGCCGCCCCTGCACTGGAGGGCAGAGCCCAGGCTGGCCCCTCGGTGAGGGCACCGGCTCCCTGTTTGCTTGAAGACAGCTTTATGTCACCCTCATTCTTCAATGACGTTTTAGCTGGGTGTGGAGTTCCAGGAAGGTTGTTATGCTGCTCTCCTCTTCGAAAGCGTTTTATCGCCTTCTGGTTCCCACTGTGGTTGATGACTAGTCGGCCGTCAGCCTATTTGTTACATAATCTACTTTTCTCCTCTTATCTTCTCTTTGGTGTCCTGCAATCTCGCTATAGTATGTCAAGGTTTGGACTTCTTTTTTAGTTTTTAATTAATAGACTATTTTTTTTAACAGAAGTTTTAGGTTTACAAAAAAATTGAGCAGAACGTATTACCTAAAGTCCACAGTTTGCATTAGGGTTCCGTCTTTGTGTAATACATTCTGTGTATTTGGACAAATGCATAATGACCTGTTTCCACAATTAGAGCATCACAGAATAGTTTCACTTCCCTAAGAATCTCTTATGGTAATATGTAAATAGATGAATTCACTTATTCATCCCTCTCCCCTCCCTGCAACCCCTGGGCACCACTGATGTTCTTACTGTCTCATAGTGTTGCCTTTTCCAGAATGTCATAGAGTTGGAATCACAGAGTATACAGCCTTTTCACTCTGGCTTCTTTCACTAAGCAACATGCATTTAAGATTCCTCGATGCCTTTTTGTGGCTTGATAGCTCTGGATTTCTTTTTTATTTTTGCTGCTTGAGGGTTTTTGTTGGTTTGGACTTTTTAAATCTGAGATTTCATGGCTTTAATCAAGTCTGGAAATTTTTTAGCCATTATTTTTTTAATACTGCCTCACCCCAATTTCTCCAGTTTTTTTCCAGAACCACAACTTGACATAAGTCAAACTGTCACATTCTATGCCCTGCATCTCATATCTTTTATCCCTTTGCATTCTGGATAATTTCTTTAGAGCTACCTTCAACTCTGGTTAACCTGATATTAACTCATCCACTGAGTTCAATTCGATGTTTTGGGGGTTTTTGCCCTAAAAGTTCTACTTGGTTCCATTTCAAACCTACCTATTTCTTTTATACTTGTACTGCATTCCTTGATCATATTTGCAACTCCTTCTTAGAAATCTGTAAACGCTGCAGACACAGCTGTTTTATATTCTCTGTCTCGTAATTCTACTCCGGCCCCACTGCCCACAGCAGTGCCTTAGGAGACGCTCCATCAAGACTTGTTCAGTGATGGCTGTGTACATGAAGACCTTGAGATTCTAATTCTCCTGGGGTTTTCCTGGCTCTCGCGTATAGTAGGTTGTTTCTGGGCCACCCAGGAAGTGCCCATTTGAGTCTCAAACTCACCGGCGGGGGCGGGGGGGGGGTGTTCTTATCTTTAACCCCGAGAGCCCCGCCCAGTACGGATGTTTCCCTGACTGTCCCTTTGCGGTGGAGGGGCTTTCTGCAGCTCCCTCCCTTGTGCTGAGGGGGTAGCCATGTGAGAGCCCAGCTTTCTGGAAATGTCTCAGAACACACTCTCCACATTGCTCCGGCCCCGGCCCCTCTCTCCTGCTCCCCACAGAACCTCGAATCCCAGGTCTCAGATCAAATGCCCTCTCTGCTCAGCAGGGCAGCTTCGGCTGGCTCCTCGTCCTCCTTCCCCCTCGTCCCCGCTCCTCTTCCTTCTCTCCCTCCCCCCCCCTCCCTTTCTTCTCTTCCTGTTTGTTTTTTCTCTCGGGGGATTTCTTTTATTTCTCGCCTGCTCATCTGCTCACCAGTGCGCTGAAGAGAACATTATATGTCTTTTCAACATTTTATTATGGAAAACTTCGAGCACATATGAAAGCACAGTGACCCGCCGCGTACCCCCAACACAGCAAGCTGCTAGTCTTGTTCCTTTTCCATCACGTGCACAGAGAGATCTGGGGGATGTTTCTAGCATGTTAATATTTCAATTAGCTTGTCTTTTTTTTTGCATTTTTGAAAGACATATTTTATCCCACGTTGCTAAGTGTTTTAGAGTGGGAATGGTTCTTTTTTTCTTTCTTTCATTAGATTAAGTCCTCCATATGGCCAGAAATGGAAGATTCATTCTTTCCTTCATTCATTAAAAAATAAAATACGTATTAACTAAAAAAAATATGCCAGGCACATCCCAGGCACTGGCGTGGCTCCGTGCAGGCCATCCTGGGCACAGCAGTGAGAGGGAGGACGTCTGCCGCTGGGAGCCCACGTTGGGGCAGGAACTGCAGAGCCAAATGACAGACTGTGACGAGTGTCTCACGGGGGCCCGGAACAGGGGGTTCCTGGGGAGGGACCAGCCAAGGGTGGGGGCGTCTCCTGGACGGAGCACCTCACAGGAGCAGAGGCCCTGGTGGTGGAGACCCTGTCCTCTGGGGGAGCTGGTCACTGAGGAACCAGGCACAGCCCCCAGGCTCTGCTCCCCCTGACGAGCTCCTCTCCATCCTGCCGGCTCTGCCCCCAGGAGCTCCTGTCCTCTCCGCTGGCCCTTCTCACATTCCCAGGGCCTGACATAGGCCTCCAGGAGTCAGCATTGCTGGGTTGGGACTCAGCAGCGGCCTGGGGTTTGGCAGGACCGGTTGGCCCCTGACCCCCACCAGCTGTATTTCAGGTATCCTGTATGGCACCATGACCATGGAGCTGGGCGGCAGGGTGACCATCGAGTGCGAGAAGAACAACCTCCAAGCTGAGTTGGAATTCAAGCTCAAGGTAGCACTGGCCGCAGCACCCTCAGCCACCTGGAGGGCCTCGGGGGACGTGGGGCTCAGCCCGGGAGGAGCAAGGCCTTGGGGTACCCCCTCGGCCCTCTCCATGCCCCAAGGATGGTTTCCCGAGCAGATACACATGAGGGGAGCGGCTCTTGGTACCCCCGTGGTGCAGCCGGGCCCAGAGAGGGGAAGGGGCTGCCTGCAGGCCAACCAGCAGAGCCAGGACAGGCCCAGGCCCCCTCCCACCATGCGGCACATACACCTGGCAGGGACCCTGCATCCTTGAGCTCAGGCTGAGCCATTGGATGAGTGTGGCTGCCTCCAGCTTTGAGTCCCATCCCAGCCGGGCTCCCATGCCCTGGGGGCCAAGAGCCTGCCCCCCCAGCCCCCTACCCCCCCGACTCCTGGTGAAGAAGGGGCCTCCTCCTCCCTCCAGCTCGCTAAGGGGTTTAAGCGTCCACGGAGAGGCCACTGCCCCTCACTGGTGTCCATCTCGGCTGTGTCCCCACAGCCTTTCTTTGGGGGCAGCACAAGCATCAACCAGATCACGGGGAAGATCGTGTCGGGGGAGGAGGTCCTGGCGCGTCTCTCGGGACACTGGGTAAGAGGCCGCCCCCGGGACAGGCACGGACGGGCCCCTGGGCATGGGACGGCCATCACGCCAGCACCTCTGACCCCGCCCGGGCCATCTGGGGCAGGACAGAGAAGTGTTTATCAAGGAGGAGGGGAGAGGAGGCACCGAGCTCTTCTGGAACCCAAGCAGGGAGGTGCGCGGGCAGAGGCTGAAGCGGCACACCGTGCTGTTTGAGGAGCAGACGGAGCTGGAGTCAGAGAGGTGAGGCCCAGGCCGGGTCCCGAGGGACGCCGCTGACCCCAGCATGGTGTGGCCGGGCGGGCAGCTACTCTCCAGGTCGGCAGGGTTACAATGCTGTGAGCACGTCCCCAGGATGTCCCTGTCAGGGGGAATGGACCCCTCACGGCAGATGTCCTGCTGGGGGCAGCTGGAGGGAGAGGAGGTGAGGCCTGGGGAAGAGCTGGCCCTGGAGCCCGTCACTGCCAGCAGATGAGCAGCAGCTCCACAGGGAGGTCCCTGCTGGCGGGAGGTGTGAGCTCAGCGTAGGAAAGAACAATCTCATGGTGAATAAACAGCGCCCCAGGAGAAACAGGCACCTTGAGAGGCAGTGAGCTCCCTGTCACTGGAGGCAATCAAGTTGAGGTTGCTCTGAGCCTTCCCTCCAGTGCTGAGGGGTTGCGGCTGCCCAAGTCCCCCAGCTCAGAGCGGGTGCCCTGCCCACAGGCTCTGGCAGCACGTCACCAGGGCCATCTGCGAGGGTGACCAGCACAAGGCCACAGAGGAGAAGTTTTCCCTGGAGGAGGCACAGCGGCAGCGGACTCGCGAGCGCCAGCAGAGCCTCACGCCCTGGAAGCCACAGCTGTTCCACCTGGACCCCGCCACCCAGGAGTGGCGCTACCGATACGAGAAGTGAGTGCTGGTGGGCGGCGGCTGGGGGGCCTGCGTGGGCTGGACCAGCAGACTGCCCCCCACCTGCACCCCACCCTGGGCCTGAGAAGCACTGCAGGGGCTCCTACTCCCCTGGAGGAGAGAGTGATGGGGGAGGGAGGGTCGTATAGGGGCTCCCCCAGCCAGCCCTTATGCAGGCCCTGCACAAGGGGTACAGGCAATAGCCATTCTCCTGGGGGCTCTGGCCGTGGCTGGGAGGCTGAGGGCTGGGCCAGGCTGGGGTCCCCTCACCCCGAGAGCCACTGACCCTGCCAATGGATGCCCTCTGGACCCTCCAGCCTCAGCCCCTGGGACCCGCTGAAGGACATCGCCCAGTTTGAGCAAGACGGGGTCCTGCACACCCTGCAGCGGGAGACCATGGCCGGCCAGACCACCTTCCTGCGCAGCCCGGGGCCCAGGCACCAGGTCAGCACCCCCCCGTCCCTTGCCCAGGATCGTCCTCAGCAGCGGGAGGGGACAGTCAGGCTGTAGATGTGGCCGCCACCCCCACCCTCGTTTCTACCCGCCTGGCCCTCCTCATCTTGGTCCCCTATGCTGTCATACTCATACCTCCTCTCCCAGCATGGCCTCCTCTGCACCCCCATCCCTGCCCTACTCTGTCCTGCCCAGTCCCCAGCCCTGTCACACTCTCATCCCCCCCCAGCAGGGCCTCCTCTGCCCCCCCATCCCTGCCCTGCCCTGCCCAGCAGGGGACCCAAGACACCTGGATTTGCAGGACGCTCAGTTTCCTGGGCGCCCCAGTGTGCAAGGCACTGTGCTGGGGTCTACTGGCTCCTGGCCCATAGCTCCCCAAAGCCGCCCTCTGTGGTGTCAGTAGTACATTATCCCATTCTACAGATGAGTAAACCGAGGCTCGGGGCAGCCCCGGGACTTGCCCAGGTAGGGGGAGGAGGAGCCAGCATGTGCACAGATGCCTGGGGCTTCACAGGGCAGGAGGGAAGGTGGGGAGGCTCCAGGAGGCATCAGGAAGGTGGCAGACCCCCATTATGGCCAGCCCACGTGCTGCAGGTGCCACGTGCTGAACAGCACCTGCTGTGCCATCTGGGCACCTACTGTGCGCAGAGCCGGCACGAGGACAGCGCTCCCCCAGGGCGGGGAGGGGCTGGGAGGGGCAGGGAGGGGGGTGCTCCCCAGCTGCAGGGGCCTGGGCCGAACTCAGAAGGGCCATTCTTGTCCCGTGACCCCAATCTCCCGGCAAGCAGGTGCTGCAGCATCTCACCACCCACATGTGTCCCACCCCCTCGCCTCCCCCGCGTGCTGCAGCCCCTCACCCCAGCCGCTCCAGCAGGTGTCCACACTGACGCCCTCTGCATCGTCCTCCCTCTCCCCAGCCTCTCCAGTCGGCCTCAGCCCCACGACGCCTCAAAACCTGCCCCAGGGTGGTCGCCACTGATCACCCTGTGCCAAATCCACCTGTCCCGGCTCTGACCCCCACATCCCCATCGCTGACCCCACCTGTCATGTGTCTGACCCCACGCCTCTATCGCTGACCCTACCTGTCCCGGCTATGATCCCGCCTCCCCATCGCTGATACTCCTCAGGGCCACACAGGCCTGATGCGGAGCGTCCAGGCACCCACCGGGCCTCTCTGTGGGAGCACAGACCTGCTGTTGGTGCCGCGCCCGCAGCCCAGTTCTGCTCTTTCCACTAATCTCCCCTGAGCATCGGTCCGTGTCCGTGGTCCTTGTGAACTCGAGCTGCGCCTTGGCCACTCCTGTACTCTGGGGGCTTGTTAGAGGCCGGCTGAGCCTGGGGTCCCTCCGGAGAAGTCCCCTCAGTGTGGGGGGACCCCTCGCTGACGGTTCACACGGTGGGCTGCAATCAGCCCTCACGGCTCACGGGTCAGAACGGCCTCCGCCCCACGGCCATCACGTCTGCATGTATTGGGCACGACGCAGCGACGGGCAGCGGGCAGGCCTGTCTGCACCGGCTTGCCGGGCCTGGCCCCGCTGCAGACAGGCCAGGACTGTATGTTTCCAGTGAGGAAACTGAGGCCCAGCAGGGGCGTGGCTGCTCAGGGCCAGGGTTCAGACCTCCGCTGTGCACCCAGACCCCATCAGCTTCCTTCTCTAGAGCTGTCCTGGCATGTGTGCCACCATGTCCCCAAGGCCAGCAGGGCAGGTCCCCACAGGTGCAGCTGGAGCAGAGGCCAGCGAGGATGCAGTGGGTGTGCATGGGCTCCCAGCGGCAGCGGCTCCGTCTCTCTCCAGGGGCCTGGCCCAGACCGGCGGCTCCGCAAGGCCAGCGACCAGCCCTCCGGCCACAGCCAGCTCACGGAGAGCAGCGGCTCCACGCCCGAGTCCTGCCCGGAACTCTCGGACGAGGAGGAAGACGGTGACTTCGTTCCTGGTGAGCCCTCCTCGGCCGGCCCCCCTGCAGGGTGTGAAGGGCTGGAGAAGCGGCTGGCCCTGACTATCCTCCCAGGGGACCCCAGAAGCCTCCCTGAGCCCAGGGGCACAAAGGGGCATGGAGGGGGCAGGGGCTCCCCAACTCTGCACTCAGAGGACGAGGACGCCTTCCCTGGCTGGCAGGGGCAGTGTGACAAGCAGGGCTGGGCAGTGTCCATCTGTCTGTGACCCTCTGGTTCCGCTCCTGCCTCTCTGCCCGCTGCCCTCATGGGGCATGCCTGTGTCTTCCCGACCTTGTCCTCGCTTCTGCAGTGGATGAGCCACACCTTGGCCATTTCTGTCTCCCACGGCTTATTAGAGGCCAGCTGAGCCCAGGGGCCTCTCCTGAAACAGCCCTCAGCCTCTCCCTGGTCTCCCTGTGTCATTAGCCTCATCCTGAAGGCTCCTGTGAGGTGGGGCGTGGTCCGAGCTTGGCATGACTCTGGGTCCCCACATGCAGGACATTCTCGCTCATCCTGGCTTCTCCTCTCCCTTCCCATCCTGTGTCCCCTTGTCCCCTGTGTCCTGTGACTGGCGGCCGGCCGGCCCAGGCTGCGAGAGCCCGTGCCCTCGGTGTGGGAAGGAGGCGCGGCGGCTGCAGGTGCTGCACGAGGCTATCCTGTCCATCCGGGAGGCCCAGCAGGAGCTCCACAGGTAGGCACACTCCGGGACCCAGCCAGGGCTCCGGGGCAGAGAGTGCAGGAGAGCCAGTGGGCCGGAGCGGGGGCCAGGGAGGCCGTGTGTCTGGAATGTCATTGGGAGCTAGAACTCTGGGGACCTGCAAGGGGTCTGGCTCTGGGGTGAGGACAGGAAGGAGACCTGGGGTCCTGCCCTTTGTGAGGGGCGGGCGGGCGGCGGGGAGTTCTGTTTGAACAGGCTGGATTGGCGCTGCTTGGTAGACACCGAGCTGGAGAGGGAGGAGCCTGGAGGAGGATGCTGGGCCAGGCGTGGGCTTGCAGGAGCCCCAGGTGACTCAGAGCAGTACACCGTCCAGTGAGGGGTGGGGTGGCGGTCAGCAGCCAGGTGGAAGCTGGGAGGAGGTGCGCCAGCAGTAGCTCCCCATGGGCAGCTCTGGGCTCGCTGCTATGTCCGCAGCACTGTGCAGAGTAGACCCTCAGGAATGGCTGGGAGCTTGAGAGCCACACTCTGCAACCCCTGGCGGGTGCAGGCTACCAGGGCCACTGCGTCCATCAGCAGACACCCTCGAGGCAGGGCAGAGCCATAGTTTCCAGCTCCACTCCAAAGCCAGGTTCCTGGCTCCAGTCTCACTGGCTGTGGGGGCTCGGGCTGCCAGTACCTCAGTCTCCCCTCCGTAAAGTGGGGTGATAGCAGTGCCCCTGGGCGGGATGAAGATGGTGCAGAGGGCTGGGCTCTGTGCCCGGCACCCAGCCACATTCAGCCGCTGTTAGCGTCCCAGCCGGTCGGGAAGCCCAGGATAAGCATGGCAGTGATGAGGCTGGCCTCAGCCTCCTCTGTGACCAACCCAACACTTGGCACAGAGGTGCTTGTCACCTTTTTAATAACCTGCTGCTTTGTGAGGCTGTGTGGGGCCAAGAGAAAGGGAGGCTGGCACCTTGGAAGAATGAGAGAAGGCCACCTGTGTGGTCAGGGAAGGCTTCCTGGAGAATGTAGGTGGGCAGGGAGGAAGGGAGGAGGGGACAGCAAAGGTCAGTACTGAGCTGTGGGTGCCACAGGAGGGCCGCTGCTGGGAGAAAGGGTGAGCCGAGATGGTGGAGCTGAGCCCTGAGGCCACGGAAGCCAGGGAGGGTCGGAACAGCCGCCTGGCACCACAGGAGGAGGCTGGCTGCAAGGCGGGTGGCCAGGAGAACAGCCAGAAGCTTCTGCAGCAGTGCAGACACACAGTGACATCAGAGTCCAGGGCAGGGGATGAGTGTCCTGGGACTGCCGTAACAAAGCCCCCCAGACCAGGTGGCTTAAACCACAGACATTTACTGTCTCCCAGTCCTGGAGGCTGGACGTCCGAGATCCAGGTGTGGGCAGGGCTGGTTCCTCCTGAGGCCTCTCTCCCTGGTGTGTAGACGGCCGTCGTCTCCCTGTGTCCTCACATGGCCGTCCCTCTGTGCGTGTCTGTGTCCTGATCTCCTCTTCCTATAAGGTCACCAGTCTTATAGGACACTGGATTAGGACCCACCCTAACAGCCTCATTTTAACCTAATCACCTCTTTAAAGACCCCAGCTCCAAATACAGCCACATTCTGAGGTGCTGGGGCTTAGGACTCCAACATGTAACTTTGGGGCAGGGGAGACACAGCTCAGCCCATCACACCAGGGGTTGGAGGGGGGATGCAAGAGGCCCAGCTCCCCTGCCCTGACCCCCCTCTCCCTGGAATGTGTGCCTAGGAAACCCAGTGCAGCCGTTGTGCCCCAGGCCCCCTCCTCCTAATGAGCCCCCACCCTCATTGGCACCCATGTCCCTGGAGGGCGGGGACGTGCCATCCTGTCTGGTCTGGCACCCAGAGAGCACCCTCTCTCGGCTGTTGGGAGGGTGGGCCGGGCTGGCCTGGTTCAGCTGCTGCACCCTGTCGTTCGTTTGTTGCAGGCACCTCTCAGCCATGCTGAGCTCCACGGCCCAGGCCAGGCAGGCGCCGACCCCAGGCCTCCTGCAGAGCCCCCGCTCCTGGTTCCTGCTCTGCGTGTTCCTGGCGTGTCAGCTGCTCCTTAACTACATCCTCAAATAAGAGCCCGTCGGGGGCAGCGTGGGCATCACCTGCAGAACTCCGGCCAGCCCCGACCCGCCCTCCCACCCAGGCACCTAGCACTTTAAGCCAGCCCCAGGGAGGCAGAGAGAGCCAGCCAACATGGACAGAGGGGCCCACGGCGACGGGAGGGACCCAGGGGGCCGCACAGGCTCCTCTTGGGGAGGCACTGGCCTCTCCCGCAGGGCCCTCCACCCAGCGCCGGCCTTGATGCTAAAGCCAAATGCCGCTTCACCGTGCACCACTCTCCCTGGTCATCTCGCCTGGTCCTTCCCAGTGCAGCTTCCACTGGCCAAGTGGGACTGCCGGAGGGAGGGTAGGAGTGCCTGCTCAGCCTTGGACAATCACTCCCCAGCAGGGGCGAATGGGGGGTTTTGAGGAGCCAGCAGAGAGTCCCCAGGGGTCCCCAGGGCCTCCTTGGTCTCCTTCCCGAGACTCTGCCCACCTTGCGCTGGAGGGGCCTCAGGTGGGCTCCGGGGGCAGGCTGGAGCTGCTCTGAGAGGGCCTTCTGGGTTTTATTCCGCTGGTGTGCTGTTTGGACGGGAGCCCAGCTATGACCCGCCCCACCTCCCACAGCCCAGACATACCGAGATGGGGCGGGCACACGTGAGCACCCCCCGGGTCAGAGAGGCTTGGGTTGGACACTTTGCTCAGACTGAGGCATGGTCTTCCCATTCCACACTTTTTTAATAAACGCAATTGCAATATTTTAGGCAGGCTGCGAGCAGCGTCTGGCATTTAGCCTCCGTTCCTGTGTCAAGTGCTGCCCGCCGTGTGTGTGCGTGCGCTTGCGTGCGTGTGTAAGCATCTGCACACACAGATACATGTGGAGCCTTAAACTGTGTTGTGGTGGTGCCGCCTGAGCTGAACGTTTCATCTTCCAGTTTTTGTATCCATGTCCTTGCCCTCCCCACCCCGATTTGGGGACGTGTCTGTGTCTGTGCTCCATACCCTGAAATAAACGGACACACAGTGCGCATTGTCTTCTTGGGGGACTTCAGAAACGTGGGGGGTGTTTCCAGGAGACACTCAAGGCAGGCAGGGGGCTGTCTGGGGCTGGAGGTGCCCGAGGCTGTGAGGCTGGAGAGCAGGGGTCGGGGGAGGATGGGGTGCAGTTTGCAGGCAGCAGGAGGAAGCAGACCCACCCTGTGGAGCAAGCACTAGGAGGCCGGGGTTCCTGACCACCATCCGCTGAGCCAGCTGAGGACGCGGGGGCAGCACTACCCACCAGGGCCCCCCAGGGAACTGCCAAGGCTGTGCCGAGGCCCATTTTGCCTGGTTGGTGTCTTGCCTCCACGGACCACCCCCTCCCCGCCCTGCTGCGCCAGCCTGGCACTTGCTTGTGTTCCACTGTGGCCAGAGTGAGTGGGCCTGCCTTTGCTGGGATAGCCCAGGATGCCCCTGAAGGAGGGAGGCGGGCGGCTGATCACAGACCCCACACACCACGGCAAAGAGAGGCTGTGGCCCACCCCTAACAGTGTGTGAAGGATAAGAGACCACAGGGAAAGAGGTGGGCAAGCAGTGTCCTTGAGAGGGGTCTGGGTCTCTCCACCTGGGCCCCCAGGGCCCCGGGCAGGATGAAGCTTGGGCTGGGGCCAAGGAAGGGGCAGGTGGGCACTGCCATCCCGGCCGTCACGCCTGCCTCAGGCAGACTGGACTGCCCTCCCCAGGGCAGTGCCCTCAGACTGGCTCTGGACCCCCATGTGGAGGCCACCCCCTGCTGGAGAGTGGGCGCCCTCTGGGTGGTAGTTTCCTGCATCCAGGAGGACAGGCTGCTCAGGACTGGAAGCCCTGGACTGCCTTGCACGTCTTTCAGAGCTGATTAGTCACCGGGATGTAGCAATCGGACACCCATCTCGCAGAGCTAATTGGCTGGTGCAGCCTGACTCACAGCTTCACCCCCCCAACTACCCCAAGCCTCGGAAAATCCCTCTCGGAATTCTCTTTATGTCTTTGGTACACCAAGAACCATTCTACATCAAGGAGGAAAAGAAAGCTGGGTGAGGGGCCGGCCCTGTGGCATGGCGGTTAAGCGCTCGCGCCCCGCTGCTGGCAGCCCTGGTTCTGATCCCGGGCGCCGACCCACGCACCGCTTGTCAGGCCATGCTGTGGCAGGGTCCCTCATAAAGTGGAGGAAGATTGGCACAGCTGTGAGCTCAGGGCCAGTCTTCCTCAGCAAAAAGAAGATGACTGAGGGCCAGCCCTGAGGCTTAGTGGTTAAGTGCACGAGCCCCGTGGCTTAGTGGTTAGGTGCTGGCGGCCGGGGTTGGGATCCCCAGCGCGCACCGACGCACCACTTCTCTGGCCGTGCTGAGGCCGCGTCCCACATACAGCAACTAGAAGGCTGTGCAGCTATGACACACAACTATCTACTGGGGCTTTGGGGAAAAAAATAAATAAATAAAAAAATATAAAAAAAAAAAAGACGACGACTGACATGGCTGTTAGCTCAGGGCTGATCTTCCCTACAAAAAAAAAAAGAAAGCTTTGTGGGCATAACCCCAAGGGAGCAGGGGGGCCAATGCCCAGATAAGGGGTTACGAGGGGTTCCTCTTTTGAAGAACCGTCTGCTCCCCCTGAATCCCTCTCACCCCCCCCACCCCACTCCCAACGTCGCTCCCCCCCTGCTCCCCAGCAGATCACAAGATGCTGTCGGATGAGGGGGGCGGGAGGGGTTTGTGGCCCGCCGCCTGAGCTGAAGTGGGCCCCGTGAATCCGGAAGGCGCGGGGCACACACCAGGCCGCTGGCATTGCAGTCGCTGGCGGGGAGGGGTGGGGCTCGTAGCGAACGATGCAAGAGCTCCTTCCTCTGCCTTAGCTCACGTGACTGGTGCTCTGGAGGAGGGAACTCCGAGAGCTGGGGTCCGGGGCCCATCTGTAGACCCGCCCCCGGGAGTATAGAGCCGCGCAGCCGGCGGCGTGCCCGCCTAACCGGTGTGCCTGGCTCGCCGGCAGCCCCGCGTTTGGCGCCATGGCCCGGCTGGCCGCTCTGGCGCTACTGCTGCTCCCGGCGCTACTGCTGCTCCCGGCGCAGGTGGGTGTGCGGCGGCGGGGCTCGGGGCCGGGGCGGGGGACTCCGGAGAGGGAAGACCCCCGAGGGCCGGGCACGGGGCCGGGCCCGGGGCGCGCGCGGCGGAGCCCTCGCGGAGAGACTCGGACGAAGTCTGAGTTCTGGAGCCCGGAGGGAGAGCGGCAGTGTCCCGAGCACCCCCGATCCCGACCGGGTCGCGGCGGGGCCGAGCGCTCGGCGTCCAGCTCCTCGGCCGGCGGGGTCCCCGCGGCCACCCCTGCCCGCAACTGTCCGGGCAGGCGCGACGGCGAACGCGCGCAGGGCCGTTCTTCTCGCCACTGTGACCCACGCCCGCGGCGTAGCCAGAGGCGATTTAATGCGTCCTAATTGGGAGGATATTGTAACGGCTTCCTCGGGGTATAATCCACATTCAGTACACGGCACATTTTCAGTTCACCCCGCGGAAGCCGTCACCATCGGGAGAGTGGACGCGTCCCGGACCCGCAAAAGTGTCCCGCGGCCGCTTCGACATCCCTCCTACACTCCGTCCCCGGCAATCAGCCGTCTCCCTAGAGATTCATTAGAAAATAGTTACATGTGTTTTCAAATAAGATATAAATGGAAACAAGATCCTTAAGTATTCATCTGCTAGGCTTTAAAACAATTTTATTAAATCTGAATATTTGCATAAAAGTGATAACATGATTTGCCTATAAATATGTTTTTATTTTTTTAATTAATTTATTTTTTATTTATTTTGGTGTGTGAGGAAGATCGGCCCTGAGCTCACATCCACGCCAATCCTCCTCTTTCTGCTGAGGAAGGCTGGCCCTGGGCTAAGGTCCTGCCCATCTTCCTCCACCTGGTATGGGGACCCCGTCACAGCGCGGGTGACAGGCGGCGCGTCCCTGCGCGCGCGGGATCCGAACCTGCGGACGCCCACGCAGCGGAGCGCGCGCACCTCGCCGCCGCGCCGCCGGTTTGCCTCGGAGAAATCAAGGTTGATGTTGAAAACTTTTCCTTTTCAAAGTTATTGACTTCAGTTTTGTTTGCTTTTGAGTGATAGCGATTTCGTATTCAGTTTGAACAGAATATTTAGCCTCACACTACCGCTAATGAAATGACTCACCTTTGAAATGGAAACTTGCACAGCACTAGAGAATTTACTAAAGCTGTTTGCAAACGAGCCTTGCGATATCCTCAGACACTGCCGTCACGCGTCGTCCACGTCCGCTCCCCGTCCCCGGCAGCGTCGGCCTCGCGTCGCCGTCCGTGTCCTTCCGCGCC